CCAGATTTATAGAAAGTCGCTGTCGAGCGGTGTTCGCCGCATGCATGAGACCAGTGAGTTTACTCTTCCTAGTTTAATTTAACTTTAGTATGACCACATGCATTTGCAGGGTCACTCGAAATATTGTCACCCGAAAAAGTATTGTGCAGAAAGAAATGAGGACAAAAAAGAACGACAAGTAAAAAGTTTGTAGAGGATAATTAGTACTTAATCCCTCAAGGCACAAGTGACCCTTAAAGACGTGAATAGGTATTGCGCTTACTTCAGATGCTTATGGATCGAAAAGCGAGTTCTTCTATTTATCGTAAAATTCAAGAAGCTTCGGTTTTTAAACGAGAAGTCAGGCCAAGCACTCGATATTTGCTTCCGCAGCAATACCAGGCCTCGGATGACAGGTGCGTTATCTGACGAATGGCAAGAAATTGTGGAAATAACAATGAATTCAAGTGGCATGATAAAATTTAATTGCTAGTTATTACAACTAATTTGAAAATACGTAAATTTTTGTGAGACAAACAGAAAAAACTCGTTGAAATGCACCATCGCATGTCACGGATGATCTGGCGTCAACCGAAGTCAAGGTTTAGAATTTTTAACCGTACGCGACGTCCAAGACCCAGCCGACAAATGCTATCATTAGTGCAGTATTGAACCAGAGATGTCGCCGCTACCTTCTGCACGATGCTATTGAATGTGACGAGCTAAAGGAGGACCAGAAAAAGATAATGTCGGTCAAATTACTACTATGCGCTGGTCGTGGATCCCTGAATAGCCACTATCATTTTAAGATGCGTTAAACACACGGGATGTTTTCTGAAGTATCTGTCATGTCGAGTGATGTGATGTGGACCAAGAAAATGCGGTGTAAAGGAGGTTGAAGAGGCACAAAGTGAGCTAAGCAAGACCTGAGAGCACAGCGTTAATAGATTTGTTTCCAGGATCCCATGGAGATTTTGGAGTTTGTTATTCGTATAGCAGTTAACGAGACTGCTCTGCTAAAGCTGAGCAAAAAAGAAATTTTAAATAGGTAAGGGGCGGGGGAAGAGGAGGGAGGCGTAAAGAGTGGAAATGTGGTACCTGTAGCAGACAAGATCACCAGAAATGAGAAGATTAGCATCAGTGCGATGCCTGCTCATTATTCGGTACATATCGAGATATTCTCATAGCCGCATAAATCTCGAGCCCAAATATTGGATCTGTTTGTGAATGTGCGTAAGGTCGAATGCCAAAATTTTAATTCGTACTTTTTGGTGTGTGTCTGTGAATAATGGGGCTGGGCATATCGACACGCGCGAAGTGCAACCTAACCTTTACCTCCCCATTTGTACATAGGCATATTTAGAGTCAATCTTTGGCTAGGTCACTATTATGGTGCACGTTTGCGATGGGCGAGAAATCAATCAGAGATGAATACGACCATAAAAGCAAATGCTGGACGCTGATAAGCAAAGGCCGCTTTCGTTGCCCAAGTATACTGTACTGGGTTAATACAGACATTCACGACAATGAACTTATTCTTCAGTGACTGTTGCTGTGTAGCAAATCTCAACTCGATTCATTTCTACAAACTGAATCAGTCATATCAAAAGGAGAGCTCCAGAGCTTGCTCCAATCTCTTACTGACATTACTAGATATAACTTACAGCATCTCCAGCTGTGAGTGCATCCTAACTTTTGCACACCAATTAGTCTGAGTGTAACGTTCGCTTGAACTGGTACTCAGAAACTTTGTAGCATTTAGTGTAACTATTTTGTGGGATTATTTTTTGGCAGAACTGGCTGATAAAGAAATGGTCACATTCTTACTGTTATCACAATAAAGTCAAATGTGTTCAATGCTAGTGTCGTTCAAAAACTAGTGGTCATCTTCAAAATCATCATCTTTCTCCATCAACTGCAGCCAACGACATATAACCGATCTCCAATAATGGCCTGATTAGTCTTGAAATACTGAACCAAATACGTGAGCCTCAAAATTTACCTTTGTTGTCGCAAAACTACAAAACGTAGGTGGGCTAAAGAAAATTAGTTTTCTCAAAGTACCCACTGATTGACTTCAATGCTGTGGCGCACTTTTGTAAGTATGAATAAATAACGTTTTTAATTGGCAAAAAGTTAAGTTGCAATGACTATTGGAGGCGATCTTAATCGAACACACTTTCATACTTAAGAATACCATCTTAAATCGCACTCTAAAACTAGTCTGGGTAGTTGATTCCTAAAATATCGCCAGTCGTCCTCTGGTACCGTTAAGGGTTTTTGCCTGCTTAATGGTGAATGAAGCATTTGTCCGATTCATCTGCGTTGTTAGTCAGAGCGATTGTCATGCGAGTCTTACTCTACTTCAAACATCACTTGACGTAGATTGATGGTCTTTACGGTCGCTAAGCATTAAAAGAGTCCACTTTTAAGACTATTTTGATGTGGGCCAGGGGTGTCTACACAGCCTCCAAAGATCAGATGTCACCATATGAGCTTAACCCGATGGAGTCTCATGCATTGCTGTAATGCCTAGTGCCAGCCGTTAGATAACCGCAGAAGATAGTCACTTCAATGCCGCCCAGCATTATAACTCCTTTGCTATCGCCTTGATTAATTACCGCTTAGCATCATTGCGAGCCCGAAGGGTGAAGCTATCAGTGAGTGAGCGCGAGGTTGAATGCCGACCTTTAAATCGTACTTATCTGTCTGTGTGTGTTTGTGTGTGTCGGGTCTGTAAAAAACGCGGCTAGGTGTGCCTTATCGTACTAAGTGCGAGCTGGCCTGTTTCCCACCTCATAGGTCTATTACACTTGAGTCTCCGTAATTTATTATTTTAAGGAATGGTAATCTCCCTTACTTAATGAAAACGTCGGGTCAAATTTTCGGCCTGGCCAAACGTGAAAAACTCCCTATTTTTTTTAAGGAGGAGAAACTTGCCGCCTTACAAATATTAAACTGCTGTCGGGTGCTTCTCCAAAAAAGTATCCAGAGTTTAATGATTCAGGGATTTTTGCTGAAGTATTAGCTGATCCTGCGTCATCTGAATTATCCCTGAGAACTCCTCTCCAGTCTCCTGCTGCAACCAGAAAGTCCTGTTATCTGCTAGCATCGATGCAGCATTCCGAAGAGGGACTGGCGATGCGGTCATGCTGTCGTCTTTCATGCTAACACGTGTTGCACCCTTCACTTCAACCCTATTCCCTTTAAACTCTGCTATTTAATACTTTCTTGTTTAGTCAACATTTGGCAGTCTCAGCCATATTAAAAAGGGAGACTCTACTGTAGCATGATTGGTGTCACTCTGTAGCTAGGTCAACATTGTGATGCACGCATGTGATTGGCTTCAAATCGGTCATAGGTGGATGTGGTCAAATGCTAGACGCCATGAAGCACAGGTCGATCGCGTTGCCCTACTAAACTGTACTGGTTTAATACAAACATGAACGGCACCACACTCCTTCTCCACTACTTTTGTTGTATGGTGTTTGCACTTTGTTTTAGTTCTCCCAACTGGATTACTAATGTAATTTAAGGGCGAGCTTCAGAGCGCGTTCCCCCATCTTAATCTAAAGAGACACTGCAGCCACCAGTTAAGAACCTTCGATACCGCTAAAAAGAAGGACGACCACGTTCTCTTGCACTTCATGCCGGCTTCTTTTACAAGTAGGCACTTATTGCGACCACCCGAAGTTCCAGATATTGTTTTCTGGACCGGCGTCTTGACGAGGATGCACCAGTAATGAAGAATAAAATGGAAATTTGGTTGCTGTTGGATTAGACGTAGCTGGATCAGACGTATTGCGCTCAATTCTTTGATTGCCCTCGCCGCATGCCGAACATGTGTGAGAACAGCATAACCTTCGTTCTATTGGCGAGATTTCTGATTTTACTCGAATGTCAGGCAGTCAGTTTATGTGACGGCATTGTAGTATTTTGATAATGCACCTGTCAAAGCGCTTGTGTTTAGTTCCGAGCTGGGATGGTCCGCCACCCGCAAACTCAACGATCTAAATGGTGTACGAAGCTAAGCATGTAAAAACAGCTTCGATACCTTCAGCATTTGATACTCAATCATAATTGATGCGTAATGAATACCCACGGATCGTATCCAGTTTGGGAGTCTTTTATTTTCGATCCCAGTTTGTAAAATCAGGTACGAACATCTATCTGGCTCTGCGGGTAGTGTGCCCAATTATCTGTCGAAGCGTAAAGCAGTACGACACGCTCTTCTGATATAAGTCGACTGGTCTAGAACGAGTAGGGCTGACACATGTCGTCTGATAAGTCTGATCTTTTGTTTGAAAACGAATGTCTGGGGCGAGTAGGAGATAGACTGCTGGCTATAACAACGGATTGTGGACGGGAAGATCGCGACGGCTGTCTCGATCTCGATCGCAGAAGAGAGGTGTGAAGCACGAAGAAAAACGCTACGAGCATTTCGATGATACAAAAACTAGTGTCGTGTCCCGAGAAGAATCCATCAATATGAAATACATGGATGTCTGCAAGCGCGTGCTTTGGGCAGCCCCTGACGCTGATGAGAATAGCGTGCTATGGAATGCACAGGGGATGTCACGAGCCGAGAAGATCAGTGCGGAATGACTGCATCGCTCATCAAGCGTGGCCAGGAGAGAATGCGGTTCCGAAAAAGCGGTTGCACAGTACTCGTCGCCTAAATCATGGAGATACGTTGCGCGGACAGATACTTTTCTCGGTCAATTTCGAGACACCAACTGGATGTACTGCACTCTACTCGCAACTCGGAACGAACATAGTGGGAACCGCCAGGAGGAGCTACCGAGTGACACATTCAACATGCTACTTCATCTGGCGGTGTTTTGTGCCCTTGCTGAGAGAAGATAGCTTGGCGAAGTAAGAGTGCAGTAAAGTCGTCTTCGTCTTGACGTTGTACGGTAGTACCTAAACACTGGTGGGAAAATAATGGAAAATCGACCGCAGTGAACCCAACTAACGGTAAGCGGCTTCTGGAGACTGCATTAATAAAAAGTGGAGACTTGCTACGTCGAATTGATGTGCACGTTCAGTTCCAAATGTCCGCCCTTAGACGACCGTGGGACCCAGAGCAGCAGCGAGCCTCCACTAGATACTGGTATTCCCACCATATTGTTTCGCCACCGGTCAATGTATAACGTCTTGTCTTGCAGCTGAGCTATGGTGGCACTCCACGTCAGTGAACCCTGCGAAGGCACTTTCACCACTGCGACTCTGACACCGCCAGAGTGAATGATCACTTTCACGTCCTTCGTGTCAGAACTCGCAAAGTGGAGGACCATCATACCGTCACCTTCCTTCGTCCAATCTCCGTAGCTGCCTATAAACGCTCCGTTTTTGGTAGTCAATCCCAGCGCATCAAACAAAGTGCCATCGTCAATGTCCCCGATAAAAGACGTCGGTCCACACGTCGGCTGTACAAATTGGGAGGCCATCCAGAGGATGCCTGTGATATCGAGGCCGGAGAGAACGACCAATCCAAGGTTCAGGGATCCGACCATAGTTTCATCCTTTGCAACTGAAGCTCCCATGTCAGTTGTGTTCGTTTCGATGAGCTGATCAATGATCACTCCCATCGTCTTCCGAAGCAAGTCTCGTGTCTGGAATGCAGCCTCTATCGTCTTATCTCCTAAGACCTCATGCATGCAGTTGTTTGTGACGACTGGTACAGTGTTTTGTACAAGTGGAGAACGACTGATCATCACCCGAATGTCGGCGTTAGTGACACCGGATATTTTCTTGCGAACTTTATGGACGAAATTGCTGACACGGTCCGTTAGGCTTTTGATCTGGTATCCGCAGGTCGAGTTGGAGTCAAGGAAGTCTTGGAATTCAGCCATGACTTTAGCATTCGTCCAGCTGATCAAGCTGACATTTGTGAGGAAAGCGATCACATTTCTCGCGGACGATAAGACTAAGTCTCCGTTGATAATAGCCTGCTTGATGACGTTCTCCACAACGACGATTACGACGCCCGCAACCCTCACTTTATACGCAACAGGAAGGCCTAAGCAAGTGCAGACTGCGATCGGCAAGTCCACCAGCACAACGTCGCTCTGGTACGCAACGGCTAGCAACTCCTCGACTGTTCCGGCAGGATCAGTCATTTTGCGGAATCTCAGGTAGTAGATGAGGGACTTGAGCACGCTGACCATACCAGCAGCACACAAGTAAGTTCGATGTGCCGACTTGTACGCGGCTTTAACTTCGCCGAACAAGCCAACCGTTGCTGCGTTGAAGAAGACTGCCACCACAGACACAGCTTTCTGAGCAATCTCAATGAGACAATCATCATTTTGTGGAATGCATTCCAAATGGCATTGCACCGGGTATGCGAGCGGACATTCTACAATGCAATTGGTGGCCGTTTTTGCGTAACCACGGGGACAGCGGTTGTCCCTGCTAAGTGGATGCACCTTTCGGTAGCATGCTGAGTCCAAGGCATCGCCAATCGTTGGCCCCACCCAATTTCGGATCTTCTTGCCATACCATTCCGTGCCCATATCGTCCGTGAGATTCAAATACGTAGCATTGATCCTTGTCCAAATGGCTCCGATAGTGAAAACTTCTCCTGCTGCTCGACCAAAGAACCCGCTGAGTTGAAAGCCTTCGGGGGCTCGCACAACCGTCGCGTGTTTCGTTGTAGACCCTTTCGCAATGGAATGGCCGAGGTTTGTGCTCAGTTTGAGGTAGACAACACGTTCTCGTCGAAACAGCTTGTCCTCCGAATGGACTTCCATCGACGTGATGTACTCATTGGGAGTGAGAAGAAGGGTGTCGTCCGTACCTCCTGAACCACCGTGAGTCCACGTCTGCTCCCTCGGCGACGATGTTCGCAGCGTCACTTGGTCAACTCGTTCGTTTCCCCGAAGAGTGACGGCACTCAGCCTCGTTGCCAACGTGACCTTCGAAATGTCCGAGAACGCATCGCCTCTCGTACTCTTGCCAAAGCTCTTGCTGAGCTGAATGTCATTGTACGAGGCCGTTGCTCTAACGACGAGGAACAGCACGACAACTGCGACCACGTTCAGAAATGGGCACGGACCCATTGCTGGACCGATGGCCGTTTTGCTGGCGAGACCGACGACCGCTCGAATGAACCGGACTCAATGGACGATTGGCCACTAAAGAAAAGGTCTCACGGCCGTGAACGAGCCGCTTCTCGCACGAATGTGCACGTGTACGTGCTATTGCGAAATGCAGTATAGAGACAGGGGAGTCGGTGACGCGTTTTTCTGCGCGGCGGTCGTACTTTCTAGTACAAATGGCTAAGCCTAGAGTGATGCGAGGGTGCGAAAGGAAGAGCTCTGATGGCGACGAATCTTGACTTGGGATCAACAACAAAGCAGGTCTGATGACATTGACCACCGTATGGCCCCTAGCGCTTCACTGTACCGTTCTTTACCATTCAACAGGCCACCCCCTACTTCATAGCGATGAGGACAACGAGTGAGATCGCAAGATCAGATGACGCGTTGGAGGAGTATAGTCCAACGCAAATGGTCTCGACTCGGAAGAGCGTCGATTGGATGTTGAGGCGTGTTCTTACTGCAGCAAAGTAGGGAATCTGAACGATGGTTCAGTTGCACGATATGAAAATCGGATTCAACAAGCTGAACGAGCGCAGGAAGAACTGACCACCTGTGTCGATATTGAGACAACCTTGCCACGTCAATCGGTTGCGTCCGACAGCAGCTGGCTCCGAAGCAAGTGCGAACCGAAGGCAAGTATCGCACTCGGAAGCTTGGCGGTTGGTGAGACCTTGCCACCAGTGCGTGCGTTCAGCAAACGAAACGACGCGATTTCCTGCTTTCACAAGTATTCGGACCACTTGCTATGGTCACGCTCAGCAGGCTTAGGGCTGCTCCGTTTGTGCCCCACCTGGCCGATAATGTAGAAGCAGACACGTCTTCACATCGCGTCGTCGATCACGGTTCGTTTTCTGTCACAATGTCACTTCTGGTTCTAGAAGGCATAGACAGCAGCTAGCTCTCTATGTAAGTGATACACTTTGAACATGGGTATGCGTGTCCCACGTCACTCAATTCTTTTTCATGATTTGTGGGTGTACTTCGAGGTGAACGCGAAGCCCCCGAGGCAGTAACAGACGACCGTCGCACAGATGTGGTTCCTCTTGCTCGTGTCGATCGTTGCGGGTTACGGCGCGACGACCTCAGACGACGGCGATATTCAGCTCAGTGCGATCGTTGGTGGATCCACTGGCGTGGCGTTCTCGGACATTGACCGCATTGTGCTTGGCCAGCATGTGGATTCAGTCACAATCAGAGCCGAGCACCGAGTTACGTCCGTGACTTTACGTGTGGATACTCCGGCTGACGTCACGCTGTCTCATGGTGGATCGAGCGGGACGGATGCTACGCTGCTGCTTGCCCAGGACGAGTACGTCCAGTCGATGGAAGTACATTGGACCTCAGACGGCTCTAACGCACGAGTTGTCTACCTTAGCTTCAGTACGAACGAAGGGCATTCCGTCGCTGCAGGAACGATGACTGATACCAGTAGGACGATCAGTGCACCTGAAGGTTTTCAGCTTAGCGGGTTCTTTGGCCGCGCTGCAGACAAAGTGACTCAATTGGGGGCAATCTGGACGAGAAGAAATGCGACTAGTAAAGCACTGACAGATCCAATGGAATCTGATTGGTATGGTTATGGGATTCGGAACTGGGTCGGCCATCCCATTGGTGACGCTACGGACTCGGCGTGCTATCGAAAGAGGGTGGAATTTGGCAGTGAAGAGTCCTGTCCTCTAGGGTACGACAGCGATAGCAAGAGCTGTGTGGCACAGTGTCCGATACCGTACCCCGTGGAATGTTACGACGAATGCCTTCCGCAAAACGATAACTGCGTCGAGGAAATTCTGAGCAAAACTGTATCGGTGATAGCCACAGTGTTCAACACGGCGACAGCAGGAGTCTTTGGCGCGATGTTCTCCTCGTATGCAAATGCAAAGGCGAATTTCCTGTGCGCTGCGAGTATCATCGGTCTGATGAAGTCGCTTACCTACTTTCTTCGCTTTCACCGAAGGACAGCTATTCAACGAACAGATGAAGAGCTACTCGCACTTGCATATCAGTCCAACGTGGTGCTGTACTCCATGCCAATTGCAGTTGCCAATTGTCTCGGACAGAGAGTTCCAAAAAAGGCAAAGATTATCAGTTACGTTCACGTCGTTATCGCCAATATCGTAAAGCAGACTATCATCAATGGCGACAAAATCCTCGCATCCTCTCATGACGTCATTGGGATGCTGAGAGACACCGGGACAATTAGTTCAACGGACGGGTTACATGTCGGCGAGCTTCAAGACCTTCTCGACATGAACTCCACTTGTGGAGACCAGCTCAGAAATCTCACCGACTATATCATTGCTTCTGTCCATGGGATTCGCAACGTGACACCTTCCGCCTCGATCAATGACATTCGTGTCAAAATGAGTGAGTCACCTCTCGTCCTGAGAGACATTCCCATTGCTACGAACAACTGCATGCGCGAGCTGATGGTGGGTGAAACGAGAGAAGCTGCGTTTCAAACTCGTGACTTGATCCGGAGGACGCTCGGAGTGATCATCGACCAGCTTGTCGAAACGGATCATACGGACTTGGGGAAGTCGGTCTCTGAAGGCGAAACGACTTTGGAGGCGGCTAATTTAGTGCTCGTTATCCTTGGTAGCGTCGATCCGACGCGGATTATGTGGATGCTGTCGCAATTTGTGCAACCGACTTGTGGGCCCATGACGTTCATAGGCGAAGTTGACGATGGCACGCTGAATGATGCTCTTGGGCTGAAGACTTTAGGAGAAGTGTTTGAAGGCAGCTATGGCACGTGGACGAAGAAAGGTGACGGCACGATGAACCTTGCTTTCGAGAGTGTCAGCACGAAAGATGTACAGGTCGCCATTCACTCGGGTGGGGAGAAATACGATAGAGTGAAAGTGCGCGCCGGTGAGACGGTGAAGTGGAATGCCCTCATCTCGGTGCTGCAAGACACAGCCTTGTATCTCGATTGTTGGCACCGGAACATGCTCGGTATACTATCAAACACAGGTAGCTCACTAGTCTTGTGGATCCCGCGGTCATCTCAAGGTGGCAAACTTACCATGCACGTTCGAGTCAATAAGAGCTAAAGCAGACGAAACCTGCCGTTCTCATGTTGCTGCCAGCAGCGGATCATACTTCGTGTCTGTCAAGCAATGGAAACCCGGATGCCGCACGAGAGGCTAGTCCTCGCCGTCGCTCAGATCCGAGTCCTCCTCGAGAGACATCAGGCCCAACAAGATGCGGCGACAAAGTTGGCGTCCATTCCGGCAGAGCAGCTGGATAGCGTCTAATTCGGGGGCGGCGTTGTCGGATGACATCGCGAGCACATTGCTGTACCACTTGTCTTTCTCTTGCAGAAGCACGACGAGCGCATCATAGAGCTGCTCGGCAGGCAATCGGGATGCCATCACAAAGCTCATGAGCGCGTCACCCAGCCCGTACTCTCGTTTAGCATCTCCATGCAGTAGGAAACACAGAGAGTCATTGTCGTTTTCTGGATGGACTAGTTTCTGACGCTTGGCCGAGTTTGTCAAAGCTTTGCCTTTGCCTTTGCCGGCTACAGGGACGTCATCGTTGTCAACTTGAGGGACGTCGTCTTTTTCAGCTCGATCGTCTCGATCGTCTTCATTGCTTCGCGAGCAAGTTTGGAATGCGTTGACGAGCTCGGAACTGATAATGTGAATCGCATCCGACGGTACCAGTGAGGGCAAGACGAAACCGTAACGATGCAATAGCTATATGTTCACAAATGAAATTGGTTAGTGATCTGAGTGAAAGATGTCCGTAGAGAAAGATCCGCATTGGTCTACGCCAACTCACCTGCGCATTTGACAGGTTCCCGTATGCGATCGTAACTGACTCGCCCTTTTCCACCTTGCGTAGAGCAACCAACTATTCATAACCAAACGAGTGAGCGATTATCCCCCCCTTTCCCCCGATATGCTCGACACAAAAGGGTACCTGAAAACTGCCCGAGTCCGTTTTGACTAAATGTGCTGCTGGGTTTTCAGCCTCATGGTTGGCCATATCAATCACTGGAAGCAACGTGGGTTCAAGTGCATCTGCGACGCTAAAGGCCCTGTACGTGAACGAGAACTTAGTGGCACCCTCTTCAAACACAAACCCAAGCTTCGCACGCACCGTGATACAACGACAGCGTACGCCCACTGAAATCTCCCCAGCGTCGACACTTCACTCGGCCAAAGTGTAGGAAATTGCTTGGCCAACGGCTCAGCATAGTCCGAGTACATTTTCAGCACCACCTTGTCGTCCAAGAGCGGGAACCTAGTACCGTGCACGTCAGCAATGGTCTTCTTTTTCTCGTCTCATCACAGGAACATCTACCCACCATTCACGTACACTGAAGTGTGTCGAAGCATATCCCGAAACTCTTGACTCCACGAAAAAGGGAGCGAAATGGTCGTTGGGAGTTGCTGGATGTAGCCATTGAAGTCACTCTGCTCACCTCGTGCTAGCTCTGCTAGCAATGCCATTGTCGTTTTCATTGTGCCACTCAATTGCAACAGGTCCACGTGCTGCTTCAACTTGACTTGGTCTTTTGCGTCGATTTGGTCCAGCCAGTAACTGCCATTTAGAAATGCTCCGGCATTCAGGGTCACCAATTCCGTACCGAGCTCGAAGTTACTTCGTGCGACGATCGATCGATCGTCTTTTCCATACAAAGGAACAACCGACACAGGATCGATGAGGTCTTTCGCCACCGTTACGATGGACTCGTGAGCGTCGACCCATTCATTCAGCAAAGACGTGGTCATTCTGAAGACTTCTAAACTGTTTCGAATTGAATTGTGCTGCTCAGCTTATACTGAATTCGATGGATTACATCATCATTATTGGATCGAATAAACGAAATGCCAAGTAGCTATAATCGATCGGAGGATCCTAAGAAACAAGTGACCTAATCTGAACAAAGTGACTCGGCCAAAAACACCAGCGGGTAGCCCAACACACCAACAAAGGTATGCAGCTCATTATTGTGCTCTTAAGTCGCATAGATAGAAAGAAATGAGAAAACCTATTGACACTAAATGTGATACAGCAATTTCTTCAATCTTAAGGAAACCCAAAACAAAAAGTGGCTCGCCCCACAAAGGGTGGGCCTGGATAGCTCGATAAAAATGGGGCGATGTCACGATGTCACTTACACTGTAACGGGGTGAATCGTTGCATAACAATTTATAAGAAATTGTTAATAGAATATAACTATAAGAGTTATATTCTCAGAAGATTGTCAAAAGGACAAATATTCTGTAGCACTTACGAGTAGTTCCCAACTGGTTGATATAGGCCATTATATCAACCAACGAAGACGCGCCACGACAGACGCACGCAATGAGTGGTGAGCAGATAATTGATTTACACATTTGCATTTAGACATAGTTAGATGAAGATAAATAGTGATTTATTGCAGACATTAACTATACTAAATACAGTTCTACTTTTTACTTTAACCAAGTACTCGCTTCTTCTTACCGTCTTCCTCTGCACGTACAGGTGTACGTGAAGTTCCGAGGCACCGCCTTATTCTGTCATCAGAATAAGTAGCTTGTACTGTCATCAGTACAAGCTTCAGGGTGCCCCGTTACACCTGGTAGCACTTCGTAGTCCGTCCAAGGACCACGTTCACATCTAACATGAATCTGTTAGATGATGAAGATGACCAAAGCTTTCACGCTACGCGTGACGGCTACTCCCATTTGAGCGATGTCGAATGGGATGCGGTTGAACGGATGGGTTCAACCATGGGCATCCATGCTGTTAGCGTCATGCTAGAGGCTCTCAATAGAGATGCCCAACATGCTACTATCGCCAAGTTCATTCAAAATGAACTTGACGCTGAACGCGAGAAAGTAGCCTTGCTTCACCAACAAGGTTCTCAACAAGCAGAGTTGTTGAGAGAACAGGGTGCTCAACAGTTTGAACTGTTGAGACAGCAGCAGGCTGCTGCTGGCGGGTCGATGCACTCGCGTCGACCCGAGACTTTGAAGATCGACATCTCCAAGTATAGGGGGGTCGAAGAGGACTCCCTCTCGAGATGGTTTGTCGAATTGGGTGACGCCATAAGGGCGCGTCGCATCGACGACGGGGATATGCAAGTTGCATTTGCCCAGTCGAATCTGGCAGGACGTGCCAAGACTTGGGCACTGGGGCTCAAGTTGCACGACCCATATGCGTTTGGGTCGTTGGAAGTCTTCAAGTCGCGGCTCAGACAAACGTTTGAACCGCCTAGAGCTGAGTTCAGGGCTCGAACCGAACTCTTGAAGCTTAAACAGGGTAAGCGTGATGTGCCCGCTTACGCGCAACATATACGACATCTCACGAGTTGTATAAGTTCCAATCCGGTGGATGAACACACGTTGGTTTCGGTGTTCATGCAGGGTCTTGCGGATGGTCCCGTCAAGACTCACCTGTTCCGGCTTGAACTAGATTCACTAGAACAAGCCATTTCCATTGCGGAGCAGGAAGACTTCAGTCTGAGACAGGCTCGCGCCAGCTCGACATCATATCGTCAACCGAGACGATATGACAGCGGAGGTCCAGAGCCGATGGAACTCTGTTATGTAGAGAGCGAGAAGGCTCGCTTAACAAACTACAAGAAGTTGCAGAAATGCAACAGATGTCAGAAGACAGGACACTACGCTTACGAGTGTAGTGCCCCTCGTCCGGTGTCTCGCAACACTGGGCGTAGTGACCGTCCACCCATGAGAAAGGGGCAGGGACGAGGGTCCGCAGTTGGTGCAAAGACGCAACAACGGGATGGACCGTCAAAAAACGGACAGGATCAGTAGGTGCGGAGCACCCTACTGGTCTAGCAACGTCAAGAGAATTTGTAGGCCTCTTGATGAAGGTTGCTCCCAACACACAAACGTTGTGCGTTGCTGCTCTAGGTAATGAGGTCTCACTCATTACCTTGAAACTCGAAGTGACGAATAAGTTGTCCCTTCGAGCTCTAGTCGATTGTGGGGCGTCCAACAATTTTGTGCGACGCCAATCGCTAGAAGATTGTCACTTTAAATTCAGTGAATGTGACACACCTCCTACGAGGATGACGGTACGTCTTGCGACAGGCGCATCCGTAACCGTCATGAAGCGTATAGTGAAGAACCACTATACGCTAGAAGATACCCAATATGACGATGACTTTATCGTATTGGATTTGGATGACAAATTTGATGTCATCCTTGGAATACCGTGGCTCAGAAGGTACGAACCACGGGTGAACTGGCAACATCGGACAGTAACGATGCCTGCCGCTTGTTCATCAGATGGCCATCTGATGAACGTTTTGGAGCGTCCACAAGCGTGTGGATGTACTACGAGTGAGTGCGATGGCCCCACTTGTGGTACGGTCGTTAGTACGACTGCACAAAACCTTAGTGTACCAAACGGTTACACTTCGGAGCAAAGTTCCGGCGGCTGTGAGGAAACACAGGCTGCGCCGAAGGTCCACCACTCGAATAAGTCGGGTGGACCGGGACAAAGATGTATCCCTAGCGGGGAACATCTAGAAGAGAAACAATCGATCGCTCAGGTTAAGCGAAACGATAATCCTAGATCGACTGGAGAGTCTTTCGTAGAGGATCTCGCTGTGGTTGCGCAACCCCAGCTAGAGAAAGTTAAGGGAATAAGTCCCGATATTACAGACACGGCGGAAATAAGTTCCCCGAAACCCGCGGGAATAAGTCCCCGGGAAGCCGAAGTAATAAGTCCTTCGAGGCCTGAGGGAATAAGTCCCCAGGAAATGACAGAGACATTGAATGTCCTAGTCAATAACGGATCAAGTGTAGGTGTTTATACACTTGATCTGATTGCGCCTCCGAAGTTGACTTCGGAGATCACTCGGTTGCCAACGCTCGAGCTTAAAAGATTCTTGCGTGATCTGCGTAGTGGCAAAGTCAAGCAGATCTGCTTACTCGTAGCTGACGACGAGTGTGTAACCGACATAAGGTCAGCAACAGTGTTCACTGAGAACGAGAGAGTTCTCAGTAGTTCATCTATGGACGAGAATGTCCTCGCTGAAAAGACACGAGTTGAGCGATATGACTCCCAATCGTGGGAATCGCTCAAGAAAAATCCTCTCTATGAAGATTTGGTTGAATTCAAGGATGTATTCCCTGAAACTGTTCCGTGCGAATTACCGAAGGATAAAGGTATTCGACACGAGGTCGAGCTTAAACCAGGCTCGAAGTACTGTGTCATGAAGCAGTGGCCACTGCCTCGTGAACAAGTACTTGCGATCGACAAGTTCTTTGCCGATCGTTTAGCTGCGGGCCATGTGAGGGAATCAACTTCCCCACATAGCTCTCTGAACTTCTGTGTGCGAAAAGCAACAGGAGGGTGGCGGATAGTGCATGCATTTAACAATTTGAATGCTGCAACGGTACCGGCTCAGACGCCGATACTGAGGAAGGACGTAATCATTGATGGTATGTCAAAGAGTACCATCTTTTCGTCCATCGATTTGATGGATGGCTTCTATCAAATCCTTATGCGAGAACGGGATATACCCTATACCGCAGTGAGCACGCCTAGCGGCATGCTCTGGGAATGGCTAGTAATGCCACAAGGGCTTAGTAATGCCCCTGCCACATTCAACAGATGTGTATCACATCTGTTGAGACCAGTACGAGAATTCGCGCCGAGTTATTTCGATGACGTATTCATCCATAGTCGAGCTATGGATGGAAAGTCAGACGTTTAGGCTCACAGATACCACGTCCGACAGGTTCTTACAATCATGCGAAAGCATCAATTGTATGCCAATCTCAAGAAGTGTGTATTTGCAGCAAGCGAAATACCACTTCTTGGGTGCATCGTTGGTAAGAACGGTGTACGTCCTGATCCCGAAAAGATCAAGGCGATCACCGACTGGCCTGTGCCGGTTGATGTCAAAGGTCTTCAAAAATTCCTTGGGCTAGCGGCGTATTTGCATAAGTATTCACGCAATTACGCCGAGATGACTGTGCACCTCTCTCGTTTATTGAAAAAGAGCGAGAGGTGGTTATGGAACGCTGAATGTCAGCGCTCCTTTGATGGTATCAAGCAGAGCTTGATACAATCCCCAGTCCTAGCAATAGCCGATCAGGACAGGCCATTTCATGTGGTCTGTGATGCCAGCGATTTTGCAATCGGCTGTGCATCAATGCAGTACGATCTTGAAGGCGTTGAACGCGTCGTATGCTATCAGTCGCGTCAGCTGCAACCAGCTGAGCGGAACTATCCAGTGCATGACAAGGAACGCCTTGCCATGAAGTATGCACTCGCGAAGTTCAGAGTCTATCTATTAGGAGATAGACCCTTCGTTGTTTACACTGACCATGCGTCATTACGCACGGCAGTGAACAGCCCGCCTTTCACAACGAATGGCGCGGTGGTTGTCATTCTTTGCAGAATACAACTTTACGGTCGAGTACAAACCAGGACGACTTAATGTCGTCGCTGATGCACTCTCACGTCGTCCCGACTTTGAACCAGTCGTGAAACCCAACAGTGAGACAGTCACTGTTGCGGTTATGACGTCCTCAGTTCCATCTACAACGTTGTATGATGATGTGAGGCGGGCATACGACCAAGATGGTGAGATAGTGAAGTTGTTGGCACATCTCTCACAACCATCTCGAGAGTCGTTGAAACGATTATCGTCTGCGTATCGATCTGATTCAGTTCGATACACTACTCGTAACGGTTTACTGTACTATACAGCCGTTTCTGGTGACACACCACGTGTTGTCATTCCAGATGATACTGATCTGCG